CACCTTTCCGAAAGTCCTACACTTAATATTCCTACACTTGTTACTATCTCAGTATCAGAATTAATCTTATCGCAGTGGTTCCCAACCTGGGGTGCGATATCCAATTCTTGGGGGTGCGAGGATAGGGTCCAGAAAAACAACTTTTTTTGTTCATTTGCCGTTGCCGGTCAAGAATATTGATTACGATCTTCAATTAATTCACTATTGTGATTCTTTCTTCCTGTTTTAATTTTTTTTTACTAAACATACGCCTACTATTTACGTCTCGTGATAATTTTTATTTTCAGAGATCCATAATGGCGAAGAAAAGAAAGTGGAACGATGATTACTATCGTTTTGTACAACTGAGAGAAGTGGGACAGAAAGACCTCAATGCTTTTTATGTTCAGTGATATTTTCTTATGCAAATTTGAAACCTTCCAAACTCAACGAACATTTCAACTGAGTACATGGTGGTAGAGAAGCTGGGCACGACGAAGAATCACTGAAGGTGAAGAAGGCACGTTTTGAATGTCTAGGAACTCTGCCAAAGTTAGGATATGTACCAAGTGAAAAGCATGTTCTTGAAGCATCATGTCAAGATGTGTATCAGGTGGCCAACGCGAAAAAACCTTATACCATCGTTGAAGAGTTAGTGAAGAAATGTTTCCTTGAAGTTGTTAAGACCATTCTGGGGAAAGATGCGGAAAGGAAGGTGCAACAAGTACCAATGTCATCAGGAACAGAATAATTGATATGAGCGAGGACATCTTGGAACAGGTGATTACTGATATCAAGGCGACTCCTGTAAAAATATCATTGCAATTGGATGAATCTACAGATGTCTCCCACTGTAGCCAACTGATTGCTCTTGTTCGTTATGTCAAGAATGAAGAAGTATTAGAACACATTCTATTTTGTGAATCACTAAAGACCACCACAAAAGGCCAGAACATGTTCTACCTCATAAAAAAAAGTTTTCTTAAAACATGGATTGGATATGAACATCGTTGGTTCAATATGTACAGATGGCGCTCCTGCTATGCTAGGAAATCGGTCAGGATTTGCTACCCTCATGAAACGGGAAATTCCTGAGGTTCGTGTCACACACTGCCTGCTTCATCAGTATGCATTAGCAGTGAAGACTTTACCAAAAAGTCTGCAAGAAGTTTTGTCAACATGTGTGAAAATTGTTAACGTAATTAGAGGACGTTCACTGAGCCATCGTTTATTTCAAGTGTTTTGTGAAAGCATGGATTCTGAACACACGGTTCTAGTGTACCACACGGAGGTGAGATGGCCATCCCGTGGACATGTCTTGCAGCGTATATTTGAGCTTCGTGAGGAGATCAAGACATTTTTAAAGGATCAAAAGTTGGATCTCTTTTCTTCATTTGATTCCCCAGAGCTTGTGCAAATGCTAGCATACTTGACCGACATATTTACTAACTTAAATGAAATAAATATTTTCCTCCAAGGAAGTAATAAAAACGTGGTTATTGCACATGAAAAATTGGCTTCCTTCAAAGCTAAAATTCCTTTGTGGTTGAGAAATATTGAGAAGGGAAATTTGGCTACATTTCCATCGCTGGAAGAAATTGTTGAAGAACACGGGTCACTACTTCCAGAAGTTGCCACTGCAATACGCGTTCACCTTGTTATTCCGATAAAAAATTATATTTGTTTCCCAGTGATTTCTGTTCAATTTATTTTGGTTTATGAAAACGACAATAAGTTTCAAAGTTATAGTATTGTAAGGGTTACTTCTAATTTTTTAACATGCCATTCTTGTTACAACTAAGAAAACGTTACAGTCTGGTCGTTTCAACTTCTCTTTTTGCAAGACGTTTATTCGTTTTCTAACGTAGGTGGCGTCCTCACATTTTTTTTTTCAAAAATTAACAAACTATAACTTAAATGTTTATTTTTTGTGTGCATGGAATAAACAAGCATCGAGTTTTACATGCTAGATATTTCTAGTTTCACGAGTTCAATGACATATTATCTTAGATTTTACAAGTTATATATAACTATATTTTTTTCGTTTATTTCAAGACTTTTGACGTCATAACTCCATCAGTCACAAAAAGTCCACTAAAACAAGACAAGCGAAGTAGATGAACTAAGACAGTGATGATTCACATTTCCAGCGTTACATAAAGTCACAGAGTTTCGCAGATAAAGAATAACAACAGGACTGACGTGCACTCAGTACTCGTGCATATCAGACAGTAATGGCTTATATGCTGGGTCTGTGACGTCACACATGAAATACACGTGAACAGAAACTACCTCTACTGTTGCTAGGTCCTGAATATGACCTAGAACAAACGCGTGCTTGCGCAAGAGTAAGTGTTTGCTCGAGATTACCAAACATGTACACCCCTATATTATAGTGCGCTGGTTGCAGTGTTGGTGAACTTCATTCTTGATGGGTCTGGCACATGTCTTTAGGTTATTTTTATCTCACGTGACATTTAATATTCTGGGAACTTGTGTCATAGTTACAGATAAATAAAAGTACACTGTTTATGGATATAGTGTTAGCGGGAAAAATAACGGCAGGACATCACATAATTTACTTTGATGTCAATTGAGCTGTATAGTTATTCAAGAATGTATTTGGGTATATATATATATATACAGTACACATAATAAAATATATAATTGCACTATGGAAAGTAATTTTGTAATTAGTGCATATTCTTTGGTTTCACGTTTTACTTTATTTCGTTTTGAACTTTTGACAAGTGCAAAGTATACATCATAATTTTCGTGATTTTGCTCAAGCAAGTAGCGTTTAAGTTACTGTAACTATTGCAATTAAGAAATATATATATAATACTTGGTACTTCGTTACTGACATGGTCTTACTTGTACGGTGGCAAAAATTCTATCCATTTTAGTCGTTCTTTACTGTAGTACTATATATATATATTAGTAAGCACTGTATATATATCGTATGTTAATAAGTACTGTATAACAATTGAGCCGGGCGTTGTCTGGTATTTAACGTGCTCAGACTGTGAATCTGAGGAGTCGTGTCTCATGGTCTGTTGCTGCAAAAATGTGCTCACTATTTTTGGGCTGTGGGTGCGTTTTATTAGTGAACGTCAAATCCTGAGTTGGCGGTGGATGCCACTAGATAGGTTTCTCCTTCCTTCTGGTATATCAGTTTAATATTAAAGGCTAGTGTGGAGTGCGCTCTTCTTGTTTGTTTGACAGTAACGAGCGCTAAGCATGCAACCTGGAATCCACATTCTGGCATGCTAACTACTTGGCCGCAATAAAAAAAAAACAAAAAAAACATTGAACAAAAACCTTCCTTTCTTTCAGGTGATTCCCCAAGAAAGATTAAAAATTTTATAATACTGTAGTCTAGTGAATAAGTTACAAAATTGGATTGTTGAGTGTATATTACTTGTTAGTGAAAACTATGAATGTGATCCCGAAGTTTGGCTTCGTGGAAAAAAAAAATCCGTATAAAATTATCTTTTATAAGTGACAATGTTATGAAAGAATTTTTCATACTACAGAAAAAAATTAGTCATTAAAAGTAGACAGAAAAGGCTTATTTTCAAAATACGCTTCATTCGTCAGTGGATGTGGAAACAAAAACATGCTGTATCACATTTATTTCCCTGTCACACAGTATGCAGTATAAAACAATTAAGCAAGTTAATCCTTTTCGAACTGACAGGCACATAGGGCTGGTGTTTAATTCCGGTTTACTGTGGCATATGCTAATGAGAATGTGGTACCAATTCATCGCAGGTTAATCGTCAGCACTTTGGCAATTCGTTATACAGTTGGTTAGACTGAAGCAATTGGGACAACTATTTTACCCAAGGGCACAACGACATAGCACGGACATGCCTCGAACCCCCAACCATACGATTCTGAGTCCGAAAAGCATTACGAAACTAGGTCATGCCGCCCACTGTGTGGTTTAAACGTAACAAAAACACAGTCTTTACTTATCGGATAAGATGAGGATGTGACTGTAAGTATTAACATAAGACGGTATTCTACAAATTAGTAGATGTTAGTTGTCTATTTTGGATGTACATCTTTTTCCATCCATGGGGCTGTTTCTTTTTATACACACATAAAAAAATAAAACCAAAAAATACATTTTTTGTAACTCCACGCGAACTTAAAAACACCACTTAACACTAAATAATATAACTATAAAGCTGAGGAAATAGACTTGTACAAAATCCTAATCCTCCTGTCACCAGGGTATCAATCAAATAGATGTACATGATTAACGTGGATGTATCCAACTTTTATTTCTAATATTCACAGAATTTTTACAGCGGGAAAGTGAAGTATGATTTTTATAAGAGATTGTAAAACTGCTTAAAAATGAAATGGTACCACTGACACCACGAAACAAATTAGAATATAGGTACATAACGTACTCGTCGATTGGTAAAGGGTTAAAACAAACACCCAAATATCATGGTATACAATGAAGTTTTTCACTTCAGTAGAACATCAAACTGAAGTACAAATTTGGCAGTATTTTGAATTATCTGTATTTCCAAATCAAAATTGGTGAAACTGTAGCAAAACTTAAAATTATTCATAAAACATGCTCAATTTAAATTATTTCAGAAATGTATAATTTTTAGAGAACCCCCAAACATTTAATTTATTGGACACTGGAAATGAAAATAAAAAATGAATTATGATCTATGAAAGTTGTCGAACTACTGTTGCCTGGTGATTATAGTATTTTGGCACTTGTGTATAAAGTTAAAATCATAAATAATATTCAACGTATATATACTATAATAATTAATTAATTAAGTTAACGTTAACGTTAACGTTAACGTTAAGTTAACGTTAAGTTTAATTTAATTTAATTAGTTATTAG